GAGCGTGCCGGACGCCCGAGCACTTCAACAACAGACGAAAAAAATAATGAAGTGGAGAAAATGATATTGGCCAATCGTCGAATCACCGTTAGAGAAGATGCTGAGGACCTAAACATATCGATTGGCTCGTGCCTTCGATTTTTATCAATGATTTGGGCATGAGACGGGTCGCCGCGAAATTCGTACCAAAATTGCTCAATTGCGACCAAAAACAGCATCGCATGAACATTGCTAATGAGATGTTGGACTCTGTCCGCGACGACCCAAATTTGCTCCAGAGGGTCATAACTGGTGACGAAGCGTGGGTTTATGGTTATGACGTGGAAATCAAAGCTCAATCATCTCAATGGAAGCTGCCGCAGGAACCAAGACCGAAAAAAGCGCGCCAAGTTCGGTCGAATGTGAAGTTTTGCTGACAGTTTTCTTCGATTGCAGGGGCGTGGTGCATCATGAGTTCTTGCCACATGGTAGAACGGTCAATAAGGAATATTACCTGCAAGTTATGCGCAATTTGCGCGAAGCAATCCGCCAGAAACGCCCGGATTTTTGGAAGAACAAAAATTGGCTTTTGCACCACGATAACGCCCCTGCTCACACATCGTTGCTTGTGCGCGACTTTTTGGCCAAAAACAACACACTAATGATGCCGCAGCCACTGTATTCCCCAGATCTGACCCCCTGTTACTTTTTCTTGTTCCCTAAACTGAAGAGGCCCATGAAAGGACGACGTTATGCTACGCTTGACGAGATAAAGACGGCATCGAAGGAGGAGCTGAAAAAGATTTTTAAAAAATGATTTTTTGAAGTGCTTCGAAGATTGGAAAAACCGTTGGCACAAGTGTATAATATCTCATGGGGATTACTTTGAAGGGGACAAAATAGGTATTCATGAATAAATAAATAATTTTTGAAAAAACACGAAAGTCGCGATACTTTTTGAACACACCTCGTATTTACGATAAAGCCTTTCGCAATACATTTCTATTATTTACTTTAACCTCAACCCAGGATCAAATCCCGCACATTATTGGACACTTTTTACTAATTACAAAAAAAAAAATACTCCAAAGACCTCCAATTCTTGCAAAAATCTAACCCCACCAGTGAGTGAAAGTAACTACAAACAGGGCTCTGGCATACTTGGTAAATGCAAAAGTCAAACTGCTTTTCACATCTGTAAACATGAAAAAATGATAGTAATTTCTTGGTTTTTCAAGAAGCCTCTGGGACCAAAATTATTTTTGGTCACAGTGGTACAGCCTACTCCATGCTGACGAGCGTTAACAGCAAGAAAAGTGTTTGTGGATAGCTTTTCTTGATTTATCAAGAAATTGGGTTAGCCAAATATCAGGGAACAGGGTAAATTAGTTGGTTTCTGTTCCACCAGATGGGGCTCTGCCTTCTGTAAAGAACATGTGCTCCTAGCCAGGATATGCCCTTTTTTATTTTTAATCAGTAAACATGTGATGCACTTATAGTTAAAAGCAGTCACTAACAACTACCCAGCAGACACTATCTTAAGTCTCAAGCTCTACAAGCTTGATATTCCAATATGATTGAATGGAGATAAGAAAAGGAAGATGATTATCATGGCCACATGTACTAGGGGTAATAATAATTTAAAAAAAAACTATGCAAGCTTTCAGGCTCTCAAACTTCAACAGCTCCAAAAGTGATATTTGAAGTGAAGGTGAGTGAATAGACCTACGATATTCACTATTGTGTCATAAGATTATGATGGAACTGTTTGAAGAGTGAAATATCATAGGCTGCTCACTCCCCCAGTTCAATCTCAATATCACCTTCTGCCTGCATTGAAGAGTGACAACTCTCAGCGTTAAAGTCTTCTTCTTCTTCTTTCTTATCTCCACTCAATCATATTAGGGTATCAAGCTTGAGACTTGACAACCATCATGAATGGGTGAAGTAGAATGCATCTGCCTTTGTCATTAAGACTGGGAGCACTACTCAGTGGCAGGCCGACTTAGCTCCAAAAGAAATGGCCGCCTTTGACATGAGGAACAGACACCATGTGCAGCCGCTCCTAACATGGAGTACAAACGCTGCTCATCCTGTATCAGGAGCCCTTACAGGGTACTATCAGCCGGGCCAGCTGAACCCAGTTTTTTTAGGGAGCTTGTTACTGCTCCCCCTCCTTTTTCATCCGGGCTTGGGACTGGCAAAGGCGGAGTTAGCGTTAAAGTAAATGGAAGAAACTTATCACATAACCTGCAACCCCTAACCACATCGGAAGTCAGTGGAAGGGTGGTCTAAACCCTAAAAAATTTTGTTTTCGACCGCAACGACCCGAATTCGAATCCCGCATTGGACACTTTTTTCTAATTAAAAAAAAATGCTCCAATGGCCCCCAATTCTTACAAAAAGTCCAACCTCACCAGCGAGTGCAAGTAACCAAAGGGGGGCTCTGGCATACTTGGTAAGTGCAAAAGTTGAACTGCTTTTCACGTGTGTAAACATGTGGTGCATTTACAGTAAAAGCAATACCCAAGTTCTACCCACCATGATTATCATAGCTTGTACCATGTGTACTAGGGATAAAAAAAACATAAAATTGACTGTATTGACTCATCCATTGATGAGCTCTACTCAGCATCCCCAGTCACAGACACCATCAACAAGCTCTACAAGCTTGATACCCTGATATGATTGCTGAGTGGAGATAAGAAAGATGAAGGAAAGAAACCTATTCCAAAGGAACACAAGGTAATAAGACTAAATCCAAATAGATAGTGTGTTACCTTTCGATAACAACTCTATTACCTCACACACTATTTATATATTTGGTCTTATTACCTTATAGTTATAATCTATAATCTAAATTGAGTTTTTATCATTATTGCAAAGAATTTATCATTTATATACAATATATATACGTGAATGGCTTTTCTTGATTTATGAAGAAATTGGGTTGGCCAAATATCAGGGAACAGGCTAAATCAATGTTTAGTTGATTTCTGTTCCACCAGATGGCGCTCTGCCTTCTGAAAAGCACATGTGCTCCTGGTCAGGATATGCCTTTTTTATTTACAATATATATTGCAATTTCTTCTTTTTATTATTATTATTATTAGGGGGAATGATGAAGGAAATATAGATGTGGGGTATTTAAGCAAAATAAACAAACAATTGAAGAATTTTGAGAAAAGATTTAATACAAAACAATTATAGCATAAAGAAAATAAAAATGATAACAAAAGTTAAAAAATTAAATACTGTTATATATAATACTCTATTTAATATATATATACACCTACTCATATATTCTCATGCCCAGCAATGGCCGCAACCTTGCAGAAAATTGACATAGATCCAGAGCAGCAGCTTTACACACCCTAATTAAGTCGGTGGACGAGTGGGTAACACCCTCTGTTCCCGACAGTCATGAACCGGGATTGAATCCCGCGTTAAAATTTGTATAATATGTGAATAACCTTCACATATTATTCATTGTTCAATTATCATGAACTAGGTTGCTCTTGCTGAGCGGTAGCTATTTATGTGATTTGAACCAGATTACACACCCAAGACAGTGGACATTGCTGCTGCTGTGATAGAGATGCATGGAAATATCTGAGGCTCTTTATTGGACAGGGCAACAACAACAACATATATATATACAGTAGAACCTCTCTGTAAAAAAAAAAAGACACCTAATTATAGAGCCCAAGTGTGTTTTATGAAGTGTACTTTTACCGGAGAGTTGTTTATTAGTAAAAATGGTAATTTTGACCATGAAAACTGTCCTAGAGGTGTCCTCTAGCGAGAGTGTCTTCTCATGGAAGTTCTACTGTATATAAGATAGTGTCATATGATAATATAAAAATATTTTTCAATTTACATCAAATAATTTTCAAGCAATATCAAATATAATGGTAATTACACACAAGGTAATAAGACCAAATCCAAATAAATAAAGAGTGTGTGATGTTTCAGTAACAGAGCTGTTACCAAAACGTCACACACTATTTATTTATTTGGATTTGGTCTTATTACCTTATGTTTATAATCTATAATCCAAATTGTGCCTTATCATAATGTAATTATTTTAGATTTGAATATGTTTGAATTAAAAAATATATATATTTTTTTAATTTGGTAA